TTTCTTTGAACTCAAAGGTATATTTGGAAGAGGTAGTCCAGGAGAAAAGGGCTTTAAATACCAAAACCTGTACGTCCCATACCAAGCTGACAGACCTATCAGCACACCGAGAAGCTTTTGGCTGAAGTCATGGAAATACAGGGCGGTACAGAGGAACATGAACACCCAGATCACGGTGAGGAAACACAGGGAAACGAGCAGGACGTTGATCACAGCACGCAGCTTGGAGCTGTGCTCCATGGCCAGCGCTTCCAGCACGGCCAGCTCCTCCAGGATCATCATGGCACAGTAGGAGAGCAGGAAGCAGTGCCCCGAGATGTCGAAGCCGTTCCAGACGCCGCTGTCCTGGTGGCACTCGCGCTTGGAGGCGTAGAGCCGGGCGGGCTGGCCGGGCTTGGCCTGCAGGGAGCACTCCCCGGTGAGGTTCTCCACCAGGATGAAGAGCTCGGTGCACAGGTACCACACGGCCGTGCCCACCAGCAGCGCGCCCAGGCGCCGCAGCGCCAGCAGCGCGCTCTTGGTGCGGCCGTGCAGGAGCTTGCTCCGGGCCAGCTCGTAGCTGGTGAGGGTGATGAAGGGCAGCAGCAGCCACAGCGTCCAAGCCCAGGCCACCTTCACGAAGTATCTGCCGGAGGAAAGGCAGAGGAGACACCAGCATGGGTGAAACACCACAGCAGCGGGGCAAGTGGTAGAGTAAGTGCTCAAGGTCAGCGTTCAGAACCATCTAAATTAGAGATTTGTGCCCTCCCCTCAAAATACAGCTTAGCTACAGTCTTAGCCCTCTCCCCAGTACTTCCCTCAAGCCCAAAACCTGAATACTTCCTCAGCCAGGTACTTGTTCCCAAGGCAGCATTGCCTTGGCCTGAGCTCTCATTCATTGCAGCAGACTTGCAGTTCAGTTTTGCAATCACTTTTACCCTACAAACCAGCTCAACTCTGCCCTAATCAAAATGCAGCTGCAAAGAATGTATTTTTAGCCTGCCACCCTGACCACAGTAACCCCTTCTCTGACTCTTCCACCATCTCAATTATCCTTGCTTACAAAGCCTTTCACAACCTCAGCCTCCGAAGACAGCCAGAAGGGCTGGCTCTTTCCCCTCACCAGCCTGAGAAGCTTTTCCTCTCTCATGTCCTTCTAATAAATGAAGCAGCTCAATCTTGTTCCTTTGTTATCCTTTCAATTGATGAGAGCCTTCTTTAGGCATACACAAATCCTTCCATCTCTAAATTCACACTCTGCCCTGAAAACTTTTGTTGTGATGCCCATAAAATCTTGAAACCCAGCTGACAATGTGTTGGTATCTTGTTTAACAGAAGACAGCACTGTGTTACCTCGTTCTCTCTTCAAATCTTAAACTGAAGCACATGTCAGTGAATTTATTAATGAGTTAGAGTCCACGATTTTGCTTCTCCCACCTTCATCAGCACCTTCCAATGGCGCTTGCTTCCTATCAGCTGGTGGGAGAGGGGAATTGTGCAGCCCCTTTGTTACCCAGAGCCCAGTTTGAAAACAGAGACAGCTGAACTCTGCTCTGTGGCTGAGCTATGGACAGAAACACACACACTCATCATTTAATCCTCACCTGAGCATCAAAGGCAAAGCCAAACCAGTCTGGAGTTCTGCATCTTCCTTATGACCCTAACAAACCTGTCAGGGCTTTGCCCAGGATTTTGAAGAGTACCTCCTTCACTCTTTAATTTTACAGAAGTGATGCCTGTGTGGTAACTACAGCTGCTACCATGAATCAGTAATTGAAAATAAACCCCATATTTTATTTAACAGCAGAAAGGCTGTTAACCAAGGTTACTGCTGACAAGTCAGGAGGCAAGTAATTTGCAGGGAAAAAATACTTGCTTCAGGAACTGTCAGTATAGCTCACCTTCCTCTATTTAAAAGGGAGAACCGAACTGAAATATGCTTTTACTGTAAGATCAATTTCTCTCCAAGTGCTTCCTGTCAATGCTCTTTCAATCACACTAAAAACAGCTCCTCTCCCATGTCACCAAATGACAAATTTGAATCAGTAAAGTTCAAAGCTCCCCAAGTCACAGAGGAAAGCAGCAATTTTAGTTTTACTTTCAGACCTGTAACAGGACAGCACATATGCTGCAGCCTAGCTCATTGCTTCCTTCAAAATGCTCAAACTAGTTTGACAGAATGACTAAGCCAGTTAGCTCATCGCTCGAGTGCTAGAAAAGGATGGCAGCTACTCTGCTTTTAGGAAAGATGCTAAAAGACCTATTTCCTTCAGCTGGGTTTTAGATCAGCTCAGTAACTATCACAGAGCCACAGAGTATGCTGAGTTGGAAGGGACCCACAAGGGCCATGGAGTCCAACTCCTGCCCTGCACAGCACAGCCCGAGAGTCACAGCATGTGCCTGAACTGTTAAAATGGTGTCGAAATGTCGAAATGTCAAAATGTCGAAAGCCCTGTCAGCCTTGGCGCTGTCAGCACTGCCCTGGGCAGCCTGCTCCAGTGCCCAGCCACCTGCCGGTGCAGAACCTTTCGCTACACCCAGCCTCACCCCGCCTGACACAGCTCCAGGCCCTGCCCGCGGGTCCTGCCGCGCCTGCCGGACTGAAAGCAGCTTACTCAAATACGAGCAATCTTCCGCGACGTTAGGAAGGAAAAAACCCCAAAAACCAAAAAACCGACAAAACCAAACCAAACTCCTTTTCCCCCTTTCCAATAAAGACCGATCCAAGACTCCCGACACTCTGAACGCTCAGAGTCAGGAACAGGGAACCCATCCCCTGGAGCACCGAGCCCGGCCCGCTGCGGCACCCGCCCGCCCGGCCCCGCGCCCCTCCTCACACGTTGAGCGGGTTGCGCTTGTTCCGCAGCGGCGTGTCGGGCACCAGGCCGCTGTCCTTGAGCGCGGAGCCGAGCAGGGCGATGGCGAGCAGCAGCGCGGGCAGCCGGCGCCGCAGCCGCCCCCGGGCCAGCGCGGCCCGCAGGCAGCGCCCGGCGCGCTCCAGCCGCTCCATGGCCGCCGCGCCGCCCGCAGCGCCCCGCAGCGCCCCCGCGCGGACACCGCCGGCACCGCCCCGCGGCGCGCCCCGCAGCGCCCTCCGGTGGGAGCGCGCGGGAGCGCCGCGGGGCCGCTCACAGGGA